CACACACACACACACACACACACACACACACACACACACACGACACTCATGACAGCCTTGGCCCCTTGTTGGTACTGCTACAGCTGTTCTAGGCCTGTGCCCTGGGCCAGCATACAGCTCCTGCTACGAGGCCAGAGCTGTCCTAAAGAAGCATGATGTAGGATGGTGCCGTCTAATAACAACAGGGACTTCTCTGCCAGTATTTAGAAAATGAACGCCAGGTCCCTGAGCCAAACCCATTCTCTAACCAAGGGCCTATGTTTTCCCCCACACCTTGCAGGGGCTGTGTGGCCAAGCACTGCACCAGGGGTTTCAATTATATTTGCAAATGAGCTATGAAGCTTAGTGTGTGTGTGTGTGTGTGTGTGTGTGTGTGTGTGCGTGCACGCACGTGCACTTGAGCATGTGTGTGTGTATGTGTAAGCCATAAGTCAACCTTGGATGTCTTTCCTCAGGTACTCTCCTTCTCCTCTTCCTGTACAGGACAGCATCTCTCTCTGGCCTGGAACTGGTTAAGTAGGCTCAGGTAGGGGCCATGGAGCTCCAGGGATCCACCTGTCTGCTTCCCCAGTTAGGATTACAAGTTAAGTTCTACCACACCCTGGTTTTTGTTTGTTTATTTTGCTTGTTTTTTGAGACAGGGTCTCATATAGCCAACCCCAGCTTGCTTCCATCTCCTTGTATAGCTGAAGTGACCTGAACTTCTGGTCCATCTGCCTCTACCTCCCTGGACTGGGATTACAGGTATGCACCACTATGCCCTGTTTATGTGTTGCTGGGGTGGAATCCAGGGCTTCCCATAGGCAAGCAAGCACCCCACCCTCTGAGCTCTGTTTACCCCTAGTCCATGATCAGCTCTTTGACATGGGTTGTGGCCATCAAACCCAGGTCCTCATGCACACACCACAGACCCTTTACCAGCACAGCCATCACCCCAGCATTAAGGCCTTTTTTTTTTTTTAATGGTCCATCTTGTTTCTTTGTCAGTTCTAAATTGACACTTACCTTGGGCCATGAAAAAAAACAAAAAAACAAACAAACAAACAAACAAAAAAACAACTGGCATGAGAGGAAATGCCCTGAGCTCCTAGATGACATTTCCTCTATCTTCGGTGTGCCCACATCCAGTGTCACCATGTTTCTTTTTCTTGCTTTTGCCATTGAGCCCAAGTTCCTGGATAGTGGCAAGAAGCCAGAAACCTATGTGGGGGTGGCCTGGTTGAGCAGCCCTCTTGCAGGGCGTTGCTTATAGCATTGATGGGCATTATTGTATTCAAAACTGACAGGCACAGTCACATCCCTGGCCAAGACTGAAGACTGAAGTCACCGACAGAAGAACCGCCGAGGCCAGTGCTAAATGAGCCTTCAAAGCAACAGGATCTCAGTCCTCCCCCTTTAGAGGGATGGGTGCCCTCCCACCTGCTACAATACAAGGTGATCTGGAAGAACTCAATTTACACCCTTAGCTCCCGTGGGCTGGGGGATCAGCAGAGGGCAGGATAATCCCAGCTTCTCCAGCAGATGGTTTCTGACTACGCTTGACCCAGTTCCCTCCCTGCCGTTGACTAGCAGCAGGGCTTGAAGCATAGACCCTCCTCCCACCCCTGAGCACAGGGTGGCTTTTGCCTCTTTGGTGTCAGGTCAACTGGCAGATTGCTTCAAGTTCCTGAAGGCAAAGAGCTATTCTACTCTCCTTCCTTTTCCCCAGCCCTGTCCAGCCTGGATGAAGCTGGCAAGAAGGGTAGGCCAGGACTGTCCTCCAGAGCCGGTGCTGGGGGGAGGGGAGGGGGCAGTAAACCTTTCATTGGCTTAATGACCTCTCTCCTTCATTCATCAGTCGTTCCTTCATAAGCCCTCCCTGATCATCTGTCAGGTCTGGCACTAGACAGGACCCATGAGGCCTAGCCTCTGTGCTGGAGCTAAGTCAGGCAATGAGGCAGCCAGCCAGGCACTGGGCACCTAATCAACTAAATCACTTCCTCGGGGCACAGAGGGCCAGGGAGGGCTTCACCCGGGAGGAAAGACAGCTAAATCTTAAAGACTGAGAACAAATTTGCCAAATGTTGGGTGGTTCTTGTTACAGAAAGAGTCAGAGTGCCAGAGTGTGTGTGGTGCCTGGTGAGAAGATACGCACAAAAACTGAGGACCATCTTCAAGGATGTCAGAAATATCTCCTTCCTGCCCAAGGGCTCATTGGGACCCTGACAGGGCAGGAGGAGGACACAGGATGGAAACAGCAAAGAATGGGTCCGATGAGGACAGAAAGGCTGTTACCTTCAGGATTCTGCTGGACCCCTGCTTCAGACTCTAGAGTTGGCAAAGTCAGACACGCCCTAGTTTTGCCCCGCAGACGTCTGGTCGGTTCCTCATACTAGGAGAGAGGGGGCGCTCTGCTCCTAGACTTTCGTGCTTCCGCGGAACTGCAGTTCTGGCTAAGGTCCACAGCGTAGGGCTGGCTTGGGAAGTTCGCTATGGGTGTTGGTGGAACAACTCCCCTCCCCATGTCCGAGGTCTCTTTAGGCAGGGTCGTCCCGATTCCGAGGGAAACAATGCTTAAACTTCTACCTCGCAGCCTTGCCTGTCGCTAGGTGAGCCTATTGTGGGTAAGGGTCCTGGAGAGCAAGGGGTCTCATGTAGCCCCAGCTTGCGGGGGAGGGGCAAGCTGTGCGTTCCGGTCTCTGGGAACTGTGCCCTGTGGGCATTGTTGTGTCTGACCCAGGTAGGGGCGGAAGGAGGGACAGAAAGAACGGTTACACTTGGGGTTCTCCAGTCAGGGTTGGAATTCAGACTCATCCACCTCTGGCACCCAGGAAAAGGCACCCCAGAACCATCTTTTTATACGCTTCTGCGAGGTTGGCTTAGTTTGGACCTCCCAAAGAACTAGTGTAATGCAGGTATCACTGTGCCCTTTTACAGACAAGAAAGAGGCTGGACACGACACGGTGGACTAGATTCAAAGCCGGTAGTGCCTAACCCCCTCACTAGAATCTGGGTTTGTCTGAGGCCAAGTGTGCCAAGACGGAGAGAGTGGAGACCACCAGTCTGGCAAGCCCTGGGACTCCAGAAGCCTTGGGTCCTCAAAGATGAGACCCGCACAATGCAGGCAGACCCTCTGGCCGACTATGGCAGCGCTGGCCCAGCCTCCGCCGCCTCTCTGCTCTTCTATCCCAGGGGGGTAATCCATAGCCCATTGGAACGGCGGCCTGGGACGCTAGAAGAGGGCGCTGCAGCCTGGGAGTGACATCCACCCGCACTGCTTCTCTGCTGCATTTGAGCTTGCCCCCACCCCACCCCCAGGCTGGACAGCGAAGGATCCCTTCTTGGAGGGTCTGGGGCGCTTGCAGCGAGTAAGGGTCGCCTGTCCAGGTTGTGAAGGACGACAGCTTGGGACAGAGGCAAGGCCTTCATGGCCCTGAATAGGGGGCATCTAGAAGCACCCGGATCCTACTTTTGGAGCATGTCGGTGCCATTTAGCCATCGTCCCATGGGGCGAGGGTCTGGGGCACTCACGTGGTGGGAAAGTTTCGAGGTAGCAAAAGTGGTCTGGCATCGCAGGGCGTGTGTGTGTGTGGGGGGGGTAGAACCTTTTCGCCCCTCCTCGCCAAGACAGAAAGAGAAAGAGCGGAGGGAAGAGGGGGTGAGGGGAGGACCAAGCAGCACCGACCTGCAGAATCCGCCTCCCCCTCCGCCCCCGGGAAGCCCGAGCAGGGAGGCGCGGACCGTCTCCTCCCGCACGCCCCGGACGACACTCCCCCCCCTTTTTTTTTCCTGCCAACGTCTATCTCAACGCGCGCGCACATACGGAGATTGTGCGGCTTTTTTACCCCTCGGGGAAAAAAGAACAGGGAGTGGAAAGGAAGAGAAGGCAAAGCGAAGAACTC